GTGTGGCGTGGCTTGGCCGGGCCTGGCCGGCCTTGTGCGGCCCTGCGCCCGCCTCAGCCTGGGCAGTCTCTTCCCTCGCCACCTCTGAGGCCTGCTGTGTCGGTGCTGACAGGTTCAGTTTTCCTTCTGGGCGCCGATGTGCGGTAACCGACACTGAATTCTCTCCGTCAGTCGGTAACTTGTGGTGTCACCAGCTCCTGTTTTTCCCGGCTGCCCCAAGCAGCTGTCACCCAGCGCCTGGTGCAGCTCGGCGGTTTGTGCTGAGCCACGTACGCCTGTGCCTTGGTGGGAACGAGCTAAGAAAGAGCCAGCACCTTGAAAACGTCCATAAATCTTAGATCCTGGATTGCCTGTATTAAATAAGTGACTTAATTACTAAGTCTGAGTTGTCTTTGTAGTACCCTTAACCCAAATTAGCTAGCATTGGCTAAGGTATTTCCAATGAAACTACAGAAAGAGGTGGGAGACTCTCTACTTACTCCTTACTTTAGAGCCATTTTGTGTTAAAGGTGTGGGAATCATACACCATCTCTGTCCAGAGATGGATGTATTTAATCAGCGATGTCAGCTTTGCTGTTGAGGGAAATGTTTTGTTCTAATGTCTAAGGGCTGGCATAAGGCTAAGTCTAGTTCTAGAATATTTTTCTCATCTAGCATTAGACTGGATATTTTCATATGTTGTGAGCTGTAGGTCTATGCTAAGTGGCTATCGCAGTTACTGTAGAGAAAGTTTAGAAGAAACTGTAATAGAGTAATTTAGCTACTTTTGAAAACTCTCGGAAGCCCCATTTTGTCAGTGACTGGCTTATGCCTTGAAATTGAATGGGTTACATACATGCTTAAAAAGTGTTTCCTCTAGGAATTAGTGTTTTCAGGTTGCTGACTTGTAACTTCAGCCAGTAAAACAACATACTGATAATGTCATGTTTTGCTCAAAACAAAATTGTCTAAAAACAGTTCTTAAAATGCATGTTAAAAACATTGCTTTAATCATTTATTCTAATCTTTAGTGGTCCTTTTTATTTAGTATAATCATCCTTTCGAAGATGATTTACTTATTTCCATGGAAACTCTCACTTACAATACGCCTGACGGTAAGAATTTGTTCGATCTTCAATACTTACATGCTGTATATTTAGACTTAGTAAAGCATATAACTGTTGGCAATTATATAACATTTAATTGCAACAGATTTTGTCCACTTAGGTATGGCATTTCATATGTAAATTTTGATATATGCATATAATACCTGGAGAGTTTATTTATGTGCACTACTGTAGTCCATTGCATGCTCTGTTTTGGACAACAGAAAAGAGTTATTAGTAAAGTTCAGGATAACAATGGTTAATATTTGAATGTCTTGTAAGAAGAAGAATCAAAAGGGAGAAGGCTGAGGGGAAACAACAGAATGGAGGTATTAGCAGGAAATTGATACGTGTGAGTGGATTTATAGAATCACAGAACAGTAGGGGTTGGAAGGGACCTCTGTGGGTCATCTAGTCCAACCCCCCTGCCAAAGCAGGGTCACCTAGAACAGGCTGCACAGGACCAGGCGGGTCTTGAATATCTCCACAGCCTCCCTGGGCAGCCTGTTCCAGTGCTCTGTCACCCTCAGAGTAAAGAACTTCCTCAGGTTCAGGTGGAACTTCCTATGCTTCAGTTTGTGCCCGCTGGGCACCACTGAAAAGAGATTGGGTGGTTTCATCTCTGCTTAGTGTTCTCAAGGCTACTCTGATAAATTTCTGTTGTGTCAAATGTCAGGGTGGACTGGGGTAAATAGTCTCTTTAACGTTTTACTGAATGTTCATGTGGTTAGTGTAAATCTGTACCACATTATGCCGTCATATTTTTCCAGTGTTTTGTTATAAGCGTTGATCCATTATATCGTTGATAATATTTACGGAGAGCTTATTGTGAAAAAAACTTGTTGTTCTGAAATACACTGTTCAGGGTTTTGGTGGGACTTATGACTTAATATCTTGGTGGCTTTACTGGCAAATGAAATGTTCTGTCCATTTTTATTATCACTAAAGTGAGGATGATGATACAAAAATTGCCATATCACTTCTTGTAAAGAAGAATTTGCTGGACGTATCCATGAAGTACTACCACAATGTCAAGCCCAATGTTATCATTGTACCAAATATGATTTACTTTCTAAAGGCTTTTACAGACTGTGAAGTTTGCATTTTATAGCATTTTTTATATATTGTCCGTCGGGAGAAGGAGGAAACGTGCATACAGCACTGTAATAAAGTCTTGGATTTGTAAAGGCTTGGTTATGCTTGTGATGTAGTAACCTCTATTCAGTCCAGGATGAATATGGATCTCAGTCCTGTAAAGCCATAAGTATGACTGTAAGTAACCTCAGATACCATGTAGTGTGTATGCATTAAATAAAATTTTAAAAGCAAAATAATTTGCTTTTTTTTTCCTTCTTCATAGCTTCTGGGGCTGTAATGCTCTTTGGATTTTAGCTTAGTGTTGTTAGACTCAGCATGTGGTGTGTGGTTTTTTTGGTGTTTTTTTTTTCTGTCTGACTTCTCACTTGAAATTACCATATTCTGTTGGTTTCTTTTCCGTAAGTTTTTGTTTAAGCAGTTGTATTGGAGGCTGTTCAGATTTTATAATGTTTTGTTACTGTTTAATATGGTCTTCCTAGATGTTTATGTTTGCTAGTATGATACTTGGTATAGATAGTGTTAAAAGAAAAGCTATGTTTATATTGATATCTCTTGTTATTTCTAGGACCTAAACAATGGGAGGAAGTGTCAACCAAGAAGCTTAGAAAATGGAAGAAGGAAGTACTTCAGGTATTTAATAATATAGTACTATAATGCAGTCAAAATGTAGCAATATTTCTTTTTTCTTATATAATGCATATAAGAGTACATTCTAATCTTGCTGTGCCATATAATATTTGCAAGAGGTATTAATCAATGAAGTCAACACCTGCGTTAAGATAGGATTTTAGGATAGATTGGTGAAGACTGTCAAATGAGATAGACCAAAATAGATGGCCATTTACCAGTGGTTAGCACCATTAGTAAACCTGGAAAAATATTTTTTTTGAAATGCTGCCTGATGGGAACATGTACTTTTGAATCTCGTCATAATATTGTCATTGAAGTTAACATGCATCGAATCAATTTATCTTGGTTCAGGTCATCAGCTTTTTATTTCCAAAGGGCTTACTGGTTTCATCTTTAGATTTTTCTTCTGTAAAATAAAGGTAAAGTAATTAAAGTATCTTTGCAGTCTCTGCACTTTCTGTCTGTGTCAGGCTAAAGCTATTACTGTTGTAGGCATATGATCTCGTTTTTTTATTCTGCATATTTACATTAAAAAAGCAGTCGTTTCTTTTTCTGTTTTTGAAACTCCCCCATAAGAACTCAACAGTAAGTTTCATCAACATCTCAGTGTTTGTTATGTAACTGTCAAAAGTCGCCTTGCTGCTACATTCCTAATATCTGTCTAAAAAGCTAAGTAGCGTCGTGTGCCTTGGTAGTTAACATAGAAGCTGTTCTGAACCCCACAAAGTGAGGGGATGAGGAGTGAAATTCAGTCCTGGGGAACAAGAGTGGATTTAATGCAGACAGAAAAGGGGCTGTATTTCCCTTTCCTTTTCTGCTCCTGGTAATACCTTGTACATCATCTACTAAGCATTGTTGAACAACTTTACAGCCTAAACCCATTAAAGACTGTAAGAGTAATTCTGTGGCTTAGCCTCTTGTATGGGCCAAGGCAGCTATAACTTATGTTCTTGTAGTGATTTTAACAGTAGGACAAGAAGTGAACAATCAGGCAAGTTTTACCATGTATTTGTGGCTTTTCTGGTCAGGCCATGGGAAATCTGAAGGAAACTGAATGGTTGTTTAGAAAGTGCCTAGTTGTGAGATATACCAAAATAAATAAAGGCATCGGTTAAAATAACTTTACTGTTCTAAGATTCTTCTGATGTTTTCTTTTTCCTATTTCTAATTGCAGCGTAATAGAGGAAGTCAAAGGAATGCAGGTAAAGTGTTTAAAAAAATAAGTGCTATAAATTATCTTATCCAGAGATTCTTGACTTAATAGAAGACGTCCTGGTTTTATGCCAAACTCTTTAGGATACTCACTCTTTTTGTGGGGGGAACCACCTGAAAAAACAACAATACTTATATTCATAAGGATTCCAAAATGTAGTTTAAAATGTTTAAGATGAGTAAATACATTGTAATTTATGTTGCTGTCATCACAAGTCTCCCCTTATCAATTAGACAGCTTTTTGTTGTATTTGTCAGTTTTGTCAGATGTTCATTGAATCTAAAAATTCCAGTCCTGACTTACGTGAGTGTACAAGTGGAGAAATTTGAAAGTTGCTAGCTTTTTGAAAATAACTAAATAAGTAGGTGTATTAAAAATGTGTGTTAAAAGAATCTCATGAAGTCACGTGATGAGCTGTCAAAAATTTAGCACATTAGCCTGTATACTGAATGAATCAGGCTGCCTGCAGGAAAAAGTAGTGAATAGTTATTTCATTAGATCGATCAGTCATTAGAGATCAAGTATCATGATGGAAGTCAAGACTGCACACCAAAGTGTAATTCTGATACTACTTAAGGAGATGTATGACGTCTCAAAATTTTCCCATTGTTCTGAAAAGGGAGCTGTATGTCCCAATAAAATATGTGGTTTTACTGGGATAAATGATGGGAGGAAATTATGATGTGTAGTACCGCAATGATATGATGGGCTTTATTTTCTTAAGGTTTTGAGGTGGTGGTTTTGGTGTTGCTTATTTTATGGCATTCATATGAGAAACTTTCATGCTGAACATCTGACGACAAAACACAACCTAGTCTCTCTCTCTCTCTGCAATCCTACCAAAAAATTTGTCCGTACAGGGTTCAGGTATAGACTTTGAATAAGCCTATGAAGTTAAAATGTTGAGCCGGGAAATAAGGGTCTGATACAAAGAGATTCAGAAGGTCCAGACCTTTGCCTCTAATTTTCGGACAACATATGCTGATGGGTCTGAATAGTACAAAAAGTGACTGGCTACAATCTGCAGTAGAAGTCAGACAGAAAGAGCATCCAGCAGTTAGTTTTTTAAAACATACAGTATTTGAAGTCTTTTAGAAGTAATTTTTTGTTAATCTTTGTGTTTCGACCTAATGTCTGAATGCCTTTGAAGTTCTTATTGAAGGAATTTACTTGGAGTGTCTTTAATGCTAAGAAGGCTGGATCTAATTAATATTAAATTTAATATAATGCATTACAGATCAGGTAGAAAAGCAGAAAAATTTTACGTATTTTTCCAACATTTAATATAATTTGAGCAAAGTCTTTATTATTTAGTACTGAAGTTATCCTAGGGAAGAAATATTTAGTTAAATATTGAAGATGGGGGAATAGCACTAGTGTTAACAGCTTTTGTTATAAGGAAAAACCTGCTTTTACAGATTTGTATTTATACATGTATATTTATATATGCTATAAAATATAGAATCTGGTGGATTTTGTTCAACTTAAGAAAATCATCTTACTCTGACTTTATTTGAACCACAAAAGTACATGGAGTAAGCATTTGAACTGACTGGTTGTGATTGGTGTTACCCTTAAAAAACCCAAAAAAAGAAAACGAAACAAAACAAAAGCTCAAAAAGCCCCAGCTCAACAACGAAAAAACCCAAAATTTTTCTGGCCAGGGATTATTAAAGCTAATGTGCAAATCATACCTATTCTTGTTCTATACTCGTAGGTGAGCCTAATACGTGTTTTCAATTAGAATACACAATGTTCTGTGCTATTAAGTGTGAACTTTAAAATATCTTTAGAAGACCCAAATACTTATTAATGAACCCCTTCCCTTGGAATATAATTTGTATTCTTTTTTGCAACTCGCAATTCTGAATTTTGCTAGCATGTATTTTTACTGTTTGGATAGAATGTCCAGTACCCATATGAAGTTTTACTGGGCAAAATGACAATCCTTTGAGTGTTTTGGATTTTTTTAATATATGCCAGTTCTGGGTATGGGAAGACCAAGTACGTTAAATTTCAGCCTCCAAGAGCAGCATTATTTCTGTCATATATAAGCCACTTAAATTTCTCAAGAAAAGAAAGAATTTTTTTTGAAACAAAACACCTTCTGTGGTGTTTCATAGATCTTGCTCAGTAATGGATATCAATGGGACATTACCATGTTACTCTGATTTCCTGTGTTCCCAATCCAGAAATGTGCAGAAAGTGCCTCATTCAGCTTCTAAAAAAACAAAAGGCATTGCTAACATATTCGAAGGGAAACATTACTGTAGTTTTTTGCGAAATAGTGAACATAAAGTTCCTGAGAGGCTTACAAGCTGAAGCCAGAGCCTTCTAGTTATATGCTTCATTAACTTTAGATGAGAAAGTGGTTTTATAGCCTGGTTTCCTACTGGTTGGAAAACTGTGCTTAGAATAGTTACCAACGGTCTGTGTCCAAACTGAAGGGAAATATGAGGGATTTTCTTGAGCACTTGTACTGAGCAAATTGCTAGTTTATGCTTTCATTAAGTGAATAGTAAAAGAGGGGATACCCTTAATTAACTCACGGATGATACCAAGTAGGGATGACCACTGTGAAAGAAGGTCCGCAATTCGGGGCTAAAACTTCAAGTAAACTTTGAACTTCTCTGCATGAAATAGCACAAAGTAATAGACTTATGTAGGAAGAGGCAGGACAAGGGGCAATGGCACAAACTGAGGCACAGGAAGTTCCGTCTGAACATGAGGAAGAATTTCTTCCCTCTGAGGGTGACGGAGCACTGGAACAGGCTGCCCAGGGAGGTTGTGGAGTCTCCTTCTCTGGAGATATTCAAGACCCGCCTGGACAAGGTCCTGTGCAGCTTGCTGTAGGTGACCCTGCTTCGGCAGGAGGGTTGGACTAGATGACCCACAGAGGTCCCTTCCAACCCCTACTATTCTGTGATTCTGAGGCAATTCTGAAGGCTGGTTGAGCCAACCAAGAATATTGCTCTGTTGTGAAAATAGCGCACACTGGGCTAGAAGATATGCACGGGTGCCTAGTATGTAAAGCACACAAAACAGATTTTCTGCACTGTTCAACAGTGATAAAATTTGTGGACTATTTTGGGTTGTATTCGATAATAGCTTGTCTAGCTGGAATAAGTCAAAAAAAGAAAATAATTACAGAAACCACTTGTGATAGGACTGAATTTGGGGGGGTGGGGGAGGAGAGACAACAAAAGAGAGCCTCTAGGTTAAATATATAAAAGCTTTCCAAATGTAAACATGAGGAAGTTTTGAAATACTTTTCATAGAGGTTATGGAGTTGCTTTTAAGAATGGGCTATGCTTATCCTAAAGGTAAGTTAGGTATAGTTGTGCCTGCTTTAAAATGCAAGAAGGAGTAGATGATATCTTTAGGTTCGTTTCCATATGCTTTAAACCTTTAGAAATCTGGAAGTATTTAGATGTATGCTTGGCACTGTAAAAAACATGAAGTGTTTACAGGGGTAAATAATACCTGTGTCATATAGGAGTAAACAGTACCTATGTTGAGTTAGGTATGAGAAGTTTTCTTACCATTTAACCAAAAAAAGTAAAAAATCGATGTCAAATATGACAAGCTAATCTGGAAACAGAAATGCAGAAAAAAGCAAGGATAACAAATTCTGCATTAAACGGAAACATGTTTAATGACAGTCTTGAGTAGGGTAAACATAGTTGCTAAAGTATACATGTATTATTGTTATTATTTAAGCCTATCACATGCATCTGATCTTGAGCTGTAGTACAAGCGGAGTCATATGTTTTGAGATACAGATCTTCTCTTTTGGGAAAGATTAAATTCCTGTAATTTATACAGTATTAATAATAGTTAGAGATACCAAAACAGTTTTCAGTCTACATAAATTTAGTAGCAACAATACCTGCTTTAGAGGCTAATTGTGAAATAAGCTTATGTGGGAGTCACATTTAATTGAAGATAGCTCCTTCTCTGTGGATCTAATATGTTCTGGGTTTTATTTAAATCCATTTGGGTTGTGATAACTAATGAAGAAAAAAGTATGGAAAGAAATGTAAAAAGGGGAGATCTCTGATAAATTAGGCAGCTCTTACACTCTTTATTTTATTCCTATGAAATAAATAGTGAGGAGGAAGCCACAAAGATTGTGGGTGGGTCATAGCAGTTTTGGAAGGTCCACTTGCCAAAAATCATTAAAAAAGGTGCAGTAGAGGTTTGGGGTTCTACCCAGGCTTCAGGAGTAGTTAGTCTTTTTCTCATCCTTTTCAACATATGTCTGAAAAAATGTACAAAAAGTTTGCAATTGTCTTCCTTTTCTACAAGTGACACCACCTGATAGAGGCAAATTTTATTTTCTGTGGTGCTTCATGGGTTAAGAAGAAAACATGTAATATGGTTCATGTACATCTCTGATCAGAATTAGTCTGCTGTATTTGACTAGAATGTTGTTCTGTCACTTTTCTGTTCTTTGATCCAGCCTTGTGTAAGTTCTCTATTTGCAAAGTGTTTAAATATTTTTCAAAATAAATAAGTATATACAAATGAAGAATTAATGAGTTTAGGTACAGCATTGATCTGTGACCTAACAAACAGGAACAAATTTTTTTTCTCCTCCCATGCACACTAAGAAATGTCAAAGCAACAGACCAGTGATTCTGAAGATGGACATGCAACAGTACATCAGGTATGGGCATCATATTGCATCAGCTTTTATAAAGCCTCTTTGGGAAAACATATTTATGTAGTCAAAAACTAAGAAATTAATCACAAGCAGGTGGTCCTGTACCATAGCTATAAAGTTAGATTTTAAAGATCTGCTAATTGCTGAATTGAATCACTTTATTCTCCTTAAATAAGTACTTCTGAAAAAATTTGAGGGCTTGAAGTATTTTGCTGCAGTTCTTTTGCTTTAGTTCTTCAAACTTTCAGTATCTTATTAAACAATTGCTTTATATTTCCCCTCATGGAGTTCCCCACATGTAGTTGCATTATTTTAGCAAAGATGTGTCTTTACTTCCCAGGTACACATTTGTGTAAAATTAGAATCTGCATGTTCTGGTCAGTGCTGATCATTTAGTGTGCTCCCCCTGATTGTTTCCTCCCCTGATTGGTTCTGTGCTTTGAGGTGGTGACGAATTCAAGTTCCGGACTTTTATATGTGGTGGTCTAATATGTTTTGTGACGGTGGATTCATACAATTTAAAAATTTTTATTTTTCATGTTGTTTCTGTGGTAGGGTTTACATATGTTTTATATAATTACATATCCTCCTTCCCATTGTGATATTTGGGATATCGAATAATAGCTATGATATCAGACATGGATTTCAGCTGAATTCTATTCTCCTTTAAGTTTATTTAAAGGGAGAGATAGCAATTGGACATAGGCTTTAAACCGTCAAGTGTCTTTTCAGCTAGGCAATATGTGTGTCTAACTTAAATTAACACTTATAAAATTTGTTGTCATTTAGAATAACTTCTTTTGACTCCTTTTTAAGGAGAAAATACTCAACATTTGAAGATTGATATGGGCCATCTCACTGGTCACTCCTAATTATTTGTTCTACGTAGATGGTAGTTAGAATTGTCTCGTTTTATTGACGACATTTTAACGCACAATACACTAATTTTGTGATTGAACTAGACAGAATAGATTTAGAATTTTTAAAAAGAAATTCTGAAGAACGTGATGTCAGATGTAGATTGTAGGAAAGGCTCCTTATCCGTATAAATGAGCTTCTTATGCAACTATCAAGATTCTAGAATATAGAGTAAGAAACCCCTTTGAAATATTATATAATGATTATTTGAAGCAGGCAATTAAGAATTGTTTAAAATGGGCAGTTAAGAAAATTTCTATATACATTGGTACACAGAGAAAATCCCCAGTACAAACTGATAAAAATTTGGTGATTAGAATTCATTTGCCAAGTGTTTTTTGCTCCTATCTAATAGCTTCTCCTTGCATTGTTTGTCTGAGTATAGAAGGGCTGGGAAGAAAATAGCTTTCCTCATTGAGTAATTGGATGTGAATCAAGACAAATTTGTGTATAGATTTGTTAATAAAGATGGTGTCATTTGGACATAGTTTGTGGAATATGACTGGGTATGTTTCACCACCACCATGATCCCCCAAAAATCTGAGCAAGTAGCGAGTGCATAAAATTCTATAGACTAGTTAACATAGCTTATGCTACCAGGTCTTAAAATTCCTTTCATGTGCTTTTAAGGAATCTCCTGAGAACTCTCATGTGGATACATCTGACGTAGGTGGGTGTTTTAATATACTTTTTAGCTACCTTTTTTAAACTTTTTTAAAAAGATTGCAAAGTACTTTTTCATTATTTTCTAATGTGGTAAAAATAATTTTAATACCTGTTCTTTACCCTTTCAGAAAGTAGAGAATAGGAATAACAAGAGAATGAGGTACTGATAGTACTATGAGACCAATATCCACACTCCTCTAAAATCTCAGTCCTGAATCCCTGATATGCTGGGAAGTCAATGTGGAAAATGTTCAATTGTCTTTTTAAATAAAGAAATGAACAGTGAAATCAAAACTTTGGCACAAGTGGCAATAGAAGTTTTATTAATAATTAGAATATATACGTTAATTTCTAGTGGTCTGGGAAACACGGATATTGCATTCAGCTGCAACAATATGTCTTCAGTAGTGTTAGGAACAGTTTCAGTATTGGTCTCGTGGCCTGTCTGCAAGGTTTTAGGTGGTTTTGACCTTGTATTCCCAAATAAGTATTTGAGTGTATTAATTGGTGGTAACAATCTTTAACTGTTTTTAAAGTATTTAAAACTTGTAGTACTCAAGATCTTTTGATTCTTGTGCATATATATACTTACTATTTTGCGTAAGTTAAACTGTGGCTAGGTCGTAACCAGCATTTAATGATTAAGAGCAGTTGCCGCAAAATACGGTTAGCTGATGTTTACATCCTTTGGTATAAATTAGGTGCTTCATACTCATAGCTATCTCCAAGGCAGATGATTACTTCTCTGTTGAGGGAAAACAGCAATCTGAAATTTGTCCTCCTATCATTTGAGAGGATGATTTCAAATATCTATTTTAATGATAAAATAATTTCTGCAAATTTAGAAAGTGTGACTTCATTTTTTCTTAACCTGTGCAATGAAATATAGGAAACAAATTTTAGTGGTATCTGTAGCTTAGCTTCTGTAAGTGTCCTTTGTGTCTTTTGCACTCATGGGATAAATGAGTGATGGAGTTCAGACTCTGGTATCTTCATAGCAGCATACAATAATATGATTATCCACTCCTGCTCATTCTCTTGTGAATGTTCTAGGAAGAGACTGGAGAGGATTTATAACAGCCTCGGTGAGTCCCAGCTATCTCCAAATACAGTAAGACCTAGAAATTAGCTTCATAGACACGTGGGATTGGATTTCTCACTTGAAAATGGAATTCACCTAGGTGTCTTGTTTTTTCTGTTTATTTGGGTTTTGTTTTTTTTAGATATATAAAAGGTTAGCAGTAGGGCGTGCTAACTGTCAAGAAAAAAGTGTATCTTTAGCTGCCTTAGCTATAACTTTAGCTTTGGCAGGTTTTTTCCATCTTTAGTATTCATACAGAATGCTTCACTTCTCAGTAAAAGCAGTTTCTTCCAGATATTAGACAATATTTTAGTTCTAAAAGTATGCAAAGCTTATCAACAGCAGGTACAAATAAATCAAAACAGCTCTCGCCTGTACCTGCCCTTGATAGGGAAAATTATTAGGTTTACCTTATTTGGTTTCACAGGAAGTAGCATGGCAAAGTATAGTGATATCTGAACAATTTCTTGTATCTGTTAGGATAGTATCACAGAAAAATGAATTTATTTGGAGAGAAAGGAGAAAGTTCAATCCAAATTGTATATTTATCCAAATGTATTTAATTTTAGAATATCATTTCATAGTCAAAACTTAAAATTTACAGTAACCCCTTCACTAACGTGTTCGTCTTCTAAATAAGGTATATCTTTTAGGTAATGAGAGTCTATTGACTCTCCAGGGAAATATCTTCCTGTATTATAGATCAAATTTTCTATCTTCAGCACTTGAGGAACAATGGTCTTCCCTTTTGGCCCTTAAAAACACGTCAAGAGTCCCTGGAGAAGATACGTCACTTTTTTCTGTTCTGTGCTGTGCCATGGTCTTCTGCTAATAATTAATATTCTAGTGATTTTGAAGTATGACTGACAATACATTGAAGACACATTAATATTACACTTTTGTGAGGCTTCACACCTGGAAGAGTATTCAACTTGTATACAGATCGATCGATTCATTCTATGATACAAGCTATTTTCTAATAGTCTAGTCTGGTCATCTCGGTGAACATTTAGGGAGCAGTCTGCCAGTTTTGTGCCCGATTCTATCGGAGGAAGAAGACTGTGTGTCAGAGAGTATCAGCTATTACAGCAGAAATTGGAGGCTGAAACTTCTCCAGATTAAAACATTAACATTCTTACTGCTTCCTCCACTGTTGATGCTTAGTTACTGATTTCCTGTGGGTAAAGTGACCACAACTTTGTCTTCCACGTGGGAAAAAGCTTTGATAATCTGGCAGGTAGGGGTTTCAGTTTTAATAAAATAATTCTACTGAGGTCAGATCAAAGCCAACCCTCTGATTGCTCACCATTTTCACCAGAAAATACAAAATTATGTTGTCTCCCACAAAGATAGCATTTCTTTCATATGTATCTTTATCCTATCTCTATGGCAGCAGCTGTCCACAGAGCTTTAGGTGATGATTGCACCGACAGGGAACAAAAAAGGAAAATGGGATTAGCTGGAAAATATTTTAATTCTGTTTTTAGTAATTTAAGAATAGTATAAAGAGGCAGTGATGTGGTAGGTATCATAACCAAGATTTTCTTCACTCGTTTTAATTTTCAGGGTTATTCTCCTCTGCTCTTTCCCCTCCCTGCGGTGAACATGATCATGGGACAAAGATATCAGCCAGTGAAATTCAGGAATCAGGGCTTACAATGCAGTCACATGTTTTATGATCATGAAAGACTGAGGCTTTAGCTAATGATGAATTGGAAAGTCTGACTACATTTAGAAAAATATGTTTTGTTGTGTTTCATTCACAAAAATACCCATAGAATACCTAAAAATTGAGTTGGAATATTTGGACTTGCTTTTTAATGTTCTCAAGTCTATCTTATTTCGTACCTTGGCAGTTCTAAGGCAGTCTTGACAATAAGAAACTAAGAAAAGGAAGCACGGTAGATAGTCCTTACTGTCTCTGTTGGGATATTTAAAAATGTAGTGGAAGTAAGTGGGAATGATGCATTAATGAATAATAAATCTTGCAGAGCAGTGCTTTGAAAATATTTTACTCTCTGAAATGGTAGCATAAATCTTGAGGAAATGGTGACAAATAAATTATCTCCACTCTTCTTTGTTCTCCTCAAGTCATTTATGAACCTATAAACCATGCTTTTTAGTTGGGCTTGAAATGGAAATGTAATGCAGATGAAAAGTTTTAGTGTAGAAAGCTGTTTTCTAAAATGAAACCAGTTTAGTCAGTAAGTTATACAGTGTGTGTTTAAAAACATTTCTGTTTTGTTTTTGAGTTCAACTAGATTTTATTTAGTATTTATCTTCAAATTGTAGATGAAGAAAGTGATGCCGATATAGTTTCAGTCAGAAGAAAATTTGAAGACATTCACTTCCAGGTAAAAATTTCTGATGTCTAATGTAATGGAATAATTTTTGTATTCAATAGAAATGATTGAGCTATTTGAATAGCTTACACGTGCCTGATGAGTTGATGCACTGTCAGTGGAAGACTCTACGTAGTCTGTGTCTTAATGCACATTTTTAGTAAGTATAGCAAATGAGAGGCTCAAGAAATAAAGTCACAAAGACCAATACGAAGTAATATTATGTCTTGGTGTTATTAGCATAGCAGAGAAAGCCATACAATGTATTGCACAGAACAGGCAATACTGAGAAAGGCTATTATAGGTATGGAAAAAGAATAACCAGATAAATCACAAAGTGAAAACACTTATAAAAATATGATCATTCACCTAAGACTCTAACATAAACAGGTAACATGATTTTAAAATAAAAAGAGTAAATATGAAATAACAGCTACCATAACAAAAGCAGACTGGAATATTCTGCTGTTGTTTCCCAGACTGCGCTATGGGTATCAGGACTGATTCAGAGATCCGGTAAAAAAAGCTAACAGTACAATGTATACTGTTAAGCAGGTATCCTTTGTTGTAGCGCTGGGCACACAGGGGATCTCTTCTCCAAACGTGCGTGCTAAACACCCTGTCATTTCAGGTTAAATACAATCACAGTATATATATCCGTTATATTTCTGAGAAATGTTTATATATTCTTGACTTTTCCAAGAACTAATTAGCATATGTTAATATCTTTCACACATGTCTGTTAGCGTCCTCGGGTGGTCTTTGGGGGTCCTAAGATGAAGGCTGATACTCCTCATCACGGTGACCTTTGTTTCTGTGCAAACTCAGTTCTAAGGTCATGTATACAGTGTCCTTCCAGCCTGTTTTGTTGTGGTCTAGTTGCCCTCTTACTGCCTCTTCATCTCTGTAGCTTGGTGCATCTGCCCTCCCAAGGCCAAGCTGTCTGGAGTAGAATTATTCAGGAGTCTCTTTTGTCCTACAATTATCCCAATTATTTATTAAGGACCAAGACAGACCAAGACTGCTTTTGTTTGACTTAATTATTTTGTCTAACAACTTAGTGATAACTTGTGTCTACATTCATCTGCTACATTCCTTAATAGAAACAGGGATTAGTTACAGCAGTTACATCTTTAGATCACTATGTATGCAGGAACACAAACTGCAATAATAAAAACTACTAACAACTAGAAAATATTATGTAAAATAGTTTCACATTTTTTCTGATCTCTTCTATCAGGACTACCCAGAGTAGTTACATTGATGAGGAAGAGTGCAATACACACTTTGTGTGTGCAGCCATTCTAATCCTGCGTTCTGCTTGCTCATATACAATTACCAAAAATTTATTTCACTTTCCTTACTTGTTTAGCATAGTGCTATTCATTGTGATGTCTCTGATGACAACTAATACAAACTGCATCAGAAAGTGAGTTTCACTGATGAAAAACATTTGCCATTCATCACCAAATGCTTTTAGTTTTTTACGTTGTCCTGGGTTCAGCTGGGATAGAGTTAATTTTCACAACAAGTCATTTGGGCTGACCCAAACAGCCGATCAAATGGGATATTCTGTAGCATATGATGCCATGCTCAGTATTTAAGTGGGGAGCTGGTTGAAGGAGAGCCTTTTGCTACTCAGGAGCAAGCTGAGCGTTGGGTGATGAGAACACTGCATGTTGTATATGCTTTTTTTATCAGTATTATCAATTGTTGTTTTCTTCTCCCTTTGCCATTCTGATAAACTGTTCTCATCCCAACGCATGAGTTTTTGCCTTTTTGCCTTCTGATTCTCCTCCCCATCCCACGGGGGAGGGTGAAGGAGTGAGAAACTGCGTGGTTCTTTTGTTGCAAATTGAGGCAAAACCACGACAACATAGAGGTGCGTTACCGAGTAGACCTTAATTTGCATATGAATTCGTAGGATGTTAATAATACAAGTAAAGATTTGCAGCTGTAATTACCAGTGCTTTGCAGCTTAACGCTAGGCCTTTTTTTTTTGTTTTTATCAGTGCGTCTTCTGAGGCAGTGTGTACTTTTGCCTGCATCAATAAACTAGCTAGTTATCTCTTTATATATCTTCACATACAGTCCTTTCTTGGATTTTTTTTTTTACATAAAATATATACATTAAAAAGAAGTTTATGCCGTTTGGATATCCTCATCTGGATAATACTAGTTTGAAACAAATCTAAGTAATATGTTTGGGTTTGTCAGTGTCAATAATTTCTGTGTTTTAATTAATGCCGTTTGTTTGTTTCTCCCCTCTAAGAATCTGTATGTAGATGATGGGAAAATTCAAGAGAAAGTAAAAGTTCAAGTGGATGTGATAGTACAAGATCATGCTAGGAAAATTCCCAAGTGGATTACGGTAACATATTTCTCCTATTCTGTTCTAAGTTATTAGCTGATTAGAATAAAGTAAGAACTCTAACTGTGCAGCACAATGAGTTCTAATACAACTTCTCTGCTATTCCATCACTGTTCCTCTCCTGCTTGCTGTCTACATAAATATGACAGTATCTCAGGTCTCTGACAGCAATGATTTGTAAGAAACAGAGCAGATGGTATCCACATATTTCTTTGTTTTTTTCTTTTATACTTTGTTCTTTGAACCCTGATGTGCAAGTTGACCTTCACTTCAGCAATTTTTCTGAGAAGCCTAAATTTGAGATTTGTAGGAAAAAAAGGAGCTTTAGCTTTATTTTGGTTTTGAGGGCGAGCTGGGTTGGGGGCAAAGTGTTATGTTACGTGGTGTGGCTTCTGTTTCCTGCTGGAGTTAAAGGTGTATAGTTTATCCAGGTATAGATATGTCAATGTATAAATTCTCATATTTGGGAGAGGGATTAAAATATGATACATAATGTAGGAGTTGCAAAATATGATAAATAGCTTTCCAACATTAAACTGGTAACTCTTAAAAATTCATACTGAAGTCTTAGACGAGACTTTTTTTCTCCTTGTGTGAAATTTACTAAGCCCCTTAGGACTGTAGCTCTGCACAGAGCTTAATATAGTAAGGAGAGAGTAGGAGTTGTCACAAATAAGGTTTTGATGTTACCTTTAACATGCAAAAAATACAGGATATTAGATTATGTGTCTTTTTTTTCTTTGTTTTTCAGATAGCACCTCAACGTTCATCAGAAAGTCTTCGTTTAGCTCCGCCAGTGCAAGAACTGATTGGTACAACTAAATCTTTTGAGTGTTGGTCAAATATATTAGTTACAAAATAAGCTTGTGTTAAAATTTATTAGAAATAAAGATTTAACTGAAAACACAGAGACACTATTTATCCATTGGAAAAGTTTAATGGCTGGATTCTTGAAGATAAGTTAGATATGATTTTGCTTATGGCAAAATGTATTTGAAAAGTAAAAAACAAATAGCTTTATACATAAAAACAGCTTTTCTTAAATAGCCCCAGGAAAAAAATGTGTATCTACAAAATTCAGCAGCATTAAGCCCAATTAAATGAAAGCATATTTTTTTTGTTCTGCTTGTTTTTAAATTCAAGGAAAGTAATGAATAGCTTTGGGTCTGCTGGTAACTGGTACTCAAGGTGGTACTTCACTAGTAAACTTTTTTTCTTCAGAAGCTCTCCAGATTTGATGCAAACCTAAGATAGAAATTTGGTGTAAATATTTCAAGCCTAACTACTACAAAAAGCATTATCTTCATCCTGCTTTATGGCAAGCAAAGCTGCACTGGTACTAGCCAAGTACAAAGCTTTCAAGTAATATCGAAATAGAGTAACAAAACCTATAGGATAAGGCTGTTCCTCCTGGTCAGAAATCACAAAGAGCAAAGCAGTTTGCCCTCTACAATGAAAATGTTTTATATCTGTACATTAAGCTATTTTAAAATAAGGAGTTTTTTAACACATTTCATTTCTGTCTTCTATAGTCTGTTAATTCAATATGGTTCGGAAATACCTTTTATTTTTTTCCTAGTGGATTGTATGTTAATGATCCATTTAGCCTGGCAAAAAAAACTTAATGAAATATGCTATTACAGTAAGACTATCTGTACCACATGCAATTGTTTCTAAGTCGTGTCATACATTACTGGAAGTGCCCTAATAGATTTGGTGGTTTTTTTTCTTCTGGTTTTGTCTTGTGATTCATTTGTTTGTTTTTTTTTTGAATAGACAACCAAGCCGCTGTTTTCAGAAAGAGAGTGGAGTTGTCAAATGAATGTTGTTCATCCAGACCTCTACAGTCACAACTTCCTGGCATTCCCATTTCACCAAATACAGTAGCCATACCCAAGCATCAGCCTTCTCCAGAAATGAATAAAACTTGCTATGATAGTATCTTGGAAGAATACCAGTCTGCAGATGAGGAATGTTCCTGGAGCAGTATAACTATTGCAGACTTGTATCCAGCGATGGTGGAGATACTTACAAGGCTCATGACAAAGCAGTCTCGGAGAAAAGAGTTAAAATACATGGCCAGATACTTAAGGCACAAAAGATGGCATTCTAGAAGACCGAAGCTCAATGTCACTGTAGACAAAATAAGAGGGTTCAGACCTCTTAAGCTGAAGCAAGCTCTGCCAAGCATATGCAGCAGTAGGAGTGAAGACATCCAGAATCAAACTTTTGTAAATGAGAACAGAGAATTTTGTGATGACAAGTGTTCCATTAGTAATTTATCTGGTCTGGTACCTTATTCTTACATTGATTCAAATGAAATCAAAATGGACTACGCTGATGCAAGTTTAGAACATCATTTGCTATCTGGGAAAGGTCAAAAAGTCTCCAAACAGACTGTTTTTCCTAATGTTATGGCTAGAATGGGAGAGACCTTTGTAGTTGAAGATGAGTTACAGACTACTGTCTCACTGGAGAATTCAAAATGCAAAGAAAGTGAAAACTTGGCTTACAAATGTTCCTCAGAATACCATTTTATAACATCCACTGCCAGTTCAGGGTCAACAGCGCTTCACCTGGTAAAGGAGAGTAAATCTCAGAAGACTGACGTTCCTTGTGGTGATGCCTCAGAGTTGTGTTCATCTCCTTGCAGTTCCTATGGCAATAGTGACACTGTTATACCTGTCACAAACTGCTCTCTTGCAAGAGCATCACATACTTTGCTCATAAGTCCTGAAAGACACATTTCTTTCCAGCACAAACACTCATTTTCCTCATTGTCTGTGAAGCAGAGTCCTTCAAAGATGCCCCAGAAATACGAAGATGCATTTGAAAAACTATACTACAGACTGTGTTCCAAAGAAATCCAAAAGCCTTTGACATTGACAAGACCTCTTTCAAATTCACAGAACCTTGAAGAGAAAGGAAGATTAGTAGTGAAGAGTAGTTTAAGCAGTCCTTTGAGGTCCAATACACTGTACGATAGAGAATTTGACAGGATCTATGAGCAGTTGTGTAGTGAGGCTGTTCCAGAGCTTCATGGGTTTCAGAGAGCTTCAAATTTAAGGAAATATGAAGGGATACACATGTCTGAAACTGTAAATGCTCTTGTTAACTCACCTGTTCGAACTTTATCTGCAATTCCAAGAGTTAAAAGACTAGGAAATTTTAAAAATGATCTTCTTTGTTCACCAGTAAAGCGACTGAAAAATATATCAGAATGTTATTTTCCTTCAACAAAATGTCAACAGATTTCTCACAGAAGAAATGTTAATCTTCAGACGATGGGCATGGATTTTTTGAGCAAATACAATGGCAGTAACCTCAGCTTTTTTGACAGTTACAACTGTCAGAGTCAGGTACTTAAGGGCCTTTTTTTAAAAAAAAAAAAAATAGTGTGTACTCTGATGTTTGAAGAAGGGCTTAAAAATGGATTAGAGGTGGAAGCTGTTTAAAGTAGTGACATCATACTTCTGGTCTTCTGGTGCTATTTGGTCAGCAAGGTTTTACAGGTTTTGGGGTTTGGAGGATTTTTATTTGCTAGAATATAAGTTGTATCAGGTCTCCTGGATCATGTGAGAAAGCTCACTATTTAATAACTTTGAAAATGGTTATAAAATGCTCAATAAAAGATTTTGTTAAATTTTAATAGGCTATGTCACTGGTTAAAATAATCTCAGAGTGACCCTGTTAATTAAGGTGGCGTCCTTCTGAAATGATGACGTTTTGTTGATTTTATAGATGGACAAGGTGAGGCAAACAAAGCTTTACTGGGTTGCATATGAATCATTAGAGTTGTTGATTTAAATTTTATATTGGGCCCTTACTTCCAGGTTCCCAGTCATTTCTTCTGAGGCAAGCTATGAAATAATACCTGAGTTTTTCCATCAGTGTAACCTGTTGATGCTTTATTTTCAGGACTCTGGATTTCATGCTTCTTCAGATAAAACTTTTTTTGATATTCCTGGTACTTCCCTGCCAGGTTAGTTTCAGAGAACTTATGAATTACTACTTTAGCAATCACAAGCCCTGCTTCAAAGGGTTAATCTACAGAGCTCAATAGACCACTATCTAGGTGACAGCCCTTCTTCCTCAGGATATGTTTAAGTGTTCCTCTAAGTAAGGAATCTGTATAGAAAAGGGTTTCCTATTGCATGTTAACAGCTATTTAAGAAGCTTTTCTGTAGGTTAATTAGGACCTTTCCTTCTGAAGCATTGCTTATTATTCGCTGGTTTTCTCCCTCTTATTTTATTTAAAGTTTTCTGTGGCTTTTACTTTCGGTATCTAGATGTTCAGCATTTTTTTTTTGTTAATCCAACACTTGAATTGCAAAATTCTTTTGTTTGGATTCTTCAGCTTTACAAAAACTTGCATATGAGTTGTTGCATGGCTACTGTCACTTGCTTAGGTGAATTAGATTATTAATCTGGATTAAAAGAATTTTACCAATTCAGGACAGTAGAATTTTATTATTAAAAAAAACCCAAAGTCTAAAATTTTATCTGCTAATCTTCTAATTTCCTTTTAAAAAACCTGATTTTGGCTGAAGTATGTTTTTAACATAACCTGAACTTTTTTCCCTGCTAAGTAAAATCACCAATGTTTATTTTCCATATTTTATATTCATGAACCTTGTAATCAAGATAACAAGTAACTAACATGTGAAGGAAAATACTGAAGAAGGTGGCTTAAAATATTGTCAACTCATTTACGAGAAGAAAATGGCACTTGTTTGCATGGTTCTTGCCTTGCTGTATTTTCATTACTGATTAATTGGAAAGAATTTTATTATCTGAGGTAGACTTATCCCTTCTGTTGTCTTATGCCTTCCTCAACTTGTACTTTATGTATTACATTTTTTCTGGTATCAACAGTTTCTTCTAGTTCTACCTTTTTCTAGTGGTGATAAATTATAAGCATTTTGAAGAAGCCTGGCTTATGCTTAAATATATTCTGTGTATGAAATTTACTTGAAATTAAGTTTTGCCAGAACCTTTTGCATTAGAATATTTTCATAAGGAAATTTGCTCATTGAAGTATGCCAATAAAGTATTACCAATGTCTTAATAGGCTAATATTTTAAAAACATACTGTAGTGCCCATGCTATTCAGCATGGCTCTTACCCTTTCCATACTCCTGTTTTTCATTACCAGAATCTGGGATTGCATATGTCAACTCTGGTTGGCCTAGGGCAATGAAAAATTACAGCTGTCCTGGAAGTGCACAGAAGTGTCAGCAAAGGTAAGTGTCTTTTTGAGAAAAGAAATTTCAAACGTAATTCTTGCTGCTCTACATCTGTATCAAGGGTATGGAGGTTGTTGCTTAGATGCTTACTTCTAGAATGAAAATGAGCATGGGTGCTTGGGAGAACCCAAGCTCATCAAACCTGCAGACTTGAACACTGGGAGGTAAGTGTCTGTGGACAAAACTAGCCAGACTTCAGCATGGATGGCCAGTGAACACAAGTTAGTAGGATGGCCTAACTGAATAACTACTCCAGTCCTTATTTTGTGTTTGTGTTCATTATAGAAGCATTTATTATTTTGGGTGGAACTAAAGAACTGTTTTGATTCTGCTGTGTGTTTGAGTGAACAAGTTCAGAAAGGGAAAGTCCTCTCGGCTGAGGAAAGGGCAGTATATTGCCATTTAAAAGGACTTTCAAAAGTCAACTTCAGTGCAGCTGGGCATAGTTACCTGCATTTTGGCTCAGTGTAAGCAAGCAGTGGCTCTGTTTGGAAGATACCCAAGATCCTCTCCTCCTGCTGTTATCACTCTTGGCAATGTATTTAGATCCCTGGAAGGAGAACACTCCTTCCAGCTCCCTGGACACTGGCCTACTACATCTGCTTTTCGTAGAAAATATGTGACTTTTAAAGGATTCTCAAATTTCAGACCTTTTGGATTTTTAATTACAAACTAATTTAATAGGCAGCAGGATTAAAAAGCATTGAAAGTTCTCTGAACAGCTTCTCATTGTTTTTTCCCGAACATTTTGACATGCTTTTTTGCCAAAAAGCCTAATCAGCACCACACGATACGCTGCCTTCCTAAACTCAGTCAAGAAATGTTATCACTGTGCTTGAGATGATCATACAGCTGATAGGAAATTTTTCTGACAATGTTCAGATTAAAACTTCAAAGGAAGCCTGAATGTATTTTTAAACTACTTGTATGGAGAACTTAACTGGAAAAGAGGCTGCATAATTTAAAGAAAAAAGTTTCAGTTTAAGCAAACGTGGAATTAAAACTTGGAGGCTTGTAATATAAATATATAATGATATTGATAGCGACTGAATTTTGATTATTTTTGAAATAATGGAAGACGGGAGGCAAGCTGATGAGTATACAAGGATGTTTCTGTGATGCTGAGTATGCCGACTTAGCTGAGTAAACTTCTGCTCAGTTCTTGAATTCCCTCGTTTTTTTTTTCTTTACTACTTTTTCCTGATTCCATAGACCTGCTTATGAGATCAGTAATTGTTCTGAAGGAAGAGGTTTTCCTTTCCTTAATGCAAGTAAGAGAAACTTGAGAAAGAGTAGGAAATCATGATTTCACAGAGTGCTTTCTTGCCAAGCCATCTGGCATAAAATCTATTTCTTTGTTCTTTAATTACACAAATGCATGTTTGCTGATTTGTAGCTGAAGTGGACTGTCAGCTGGCAAGCTTCCTTGGGCCTGTGGTGTGATATTCTTAGCCTTCTATGGTCCCCAGGAGTGAAGCTCTTCTTAAATGGCTTCAGAGCCCTCAGAAGTTTTATGCCTAAGCCATGTGGCAAAATGCTGTGCGTTGTAATGAATGGTTGTGGAAAGAAAAGAATATTGTCTTCCTGTCTGGAACTTGACTGCTTTTATCTAGAAGATGATTATGAAAGAGATATTTCAGAAAAGGAAATGTTCATAACTAACAGACTTTTCTTCAGCTCTGTGTGAGTGCTGTTGTACAGCTATACTGCTACGCTTAATTGTCAGATATAAACCAAAATAGTTTAAAATAGATGTTAAAAAAATTATGCCATTTCTTGGGTAATATGCAAGGAAATAATTGTGTTCTCACTTGTATCTTTCATTTTTAGCTATTTGTGAATACACTCAAAGATTACATCTCAAAGTTTGGTATATATTTATATAATTTAGGTGAATGTGGTAGCACGACCGAGACATTAAAATGACACAGAATGAAAAGTTTCCTCTCCAGTTGAAAGCACATGGGAATGCAGACAAGGAGTCCTCCTGGTGTTCACAGTCAAGTTGTTCAGATATCTTGCTTTGGCAGTTTGTTTCAGTTTAATTCCACTCATCAGCGTTTCACCAAGCGTAGTATTTTTGTGTAGTTTACTTTATGACCTAAACAATTCTTTTCTATAGGGTATCCAGAAAACTAAGCTACACTGATGGGGAAAGACCAAAATCCTAGCAATCTCTTGGACAACTTCCTGGTCAAAACTCACCAAGGAGCATTCATGGACTGCTACAGAGAAAACATTGTTTTATAAAGTTTGGGTTTGTTTTGTTTTTCTTTCTTCTTCCAAGAATCAAGGATGTATTATATGTATGTAATATACTGATTTATACTTCCCTGAAATATAAATCTTCAGGATCTGCTTTGTCCCTTCTGACAGGGCATTTCTTGCTCCTTCAGCTTCATCAGATATTGTAGGGAATCAGGTTTCCTTTCTGTGGCTAAGTTTAAATTATGTATTTAGTGGTGTTTATAATAATAGAATGTAATCTGTATTAGCTTTTTATCTGCTAATAAGCTTTAATTCTTAAAGTATTAGTAAGAAGGTAAGTAACAATCTCTTTCTGCTGAATTCTTGTCTATTCACGCTTTATACATACATCAGTACTAAATGAATGAAAAAATGTAAACTGGGCTGGATGATCCAAATGCAATATTATACCCTATGACTTGTCATGTGCCTTCTGTGTAATTTTAATGTTAAATTTTCTAAGTAGCTCACCAAAGTTGATTGTTCGATACAATTTTATCATTTTTAGTGGATTTGATAGTTATATTCTGTGTTCTAATAAAATTTTACCTGACTCTATATATATTCTAAATA